GGGGTGGGAATGGGAGGGCGGAGGCGGAGCTCACCTGGCTGCGCCTGTCGGCGTCGCCGCTTAGTGAGGGATGCTGAAACCGCGCTGGCCCCGGGCTTGGGTCTAGCGGTGGTACCGTGAGCTGCCAGGTAAAGCGGAGCTTGAGATGGGGTGCGGAGAAGCGTTCGGCAGGGCTGGATCCCTCGTCCTTAGGAGGGTACTCTCACCAGCGCTGCCGCTGCTAGCGCTTGTCTTGGGTTGCGAGCTCTTTCGTGTTGGCAGGGGTGCTGTGACTTGACGATGGTGAGAATGAATGAAAGCTAAACGGTAAACAAAAGCAACAGTTAGCTAAAGTCTTCTAGTATGCCTCCATGTGGACGTTAGTGGTTTGGAATCACTTAATTATATGTTAGCGGCTTTACCGTGTTTGTCTTGCTGTTATCACCCTGAATGTTTAGCGGTGACACTGAGGGTGTTTTAAGGTGAGGACCAGACACTCAGTCTGAAGTGAAAAAAAGAAGTACCTGTATGTGACCGTAGTTTTGTTTTCGCTGAATAGAAATGCTTGAAAACAGAGATGCTGAAAGGGAAAATACAGTAACTTCATAAGAGTTTAAACTGCAAGGTAAAGGAGAATGTTAGGTCTTTGATTTAAATTTAACATTTCGCGTACGATGCGTTTCTGGCATGGTTGCTGTGAAAGGAAATAAGTCTGCTTGATAAGCACCAAGGTGTCAGTTATGAAGGAGGGTAAGTGTGAAAGATGTAGAAAAGAAAGTTAAAAGGACGAAGTTTTACTTGATAGCAGGATACAGGAAACGGGAGTATTGGAGAGACAGTGAAGACCAAGGATGAAGACAGGCAGAAAAGTAGTCTGGCAGCATTCGAGATCAATGATTTTGTGAGAAATTCAGGTGCCATGCTCTGTTATTGCAAGGGTACTAACCCTTGGGGTTAATTCTTAGATTTCTGATTGATTAAACCCTTGTGGGCTTTGCTTTTGTGTGTTCCCCTATCCTCCTGTCCAGAGTATTCAGTGGGTGAAAAAGAAAAATCTTTTCAAAAAGAGGAGATCTATTCACTGCTTTTCCTTTTCTTAGTTCCTCATTTCGGACTTCCAGCTAACTCCAGTGCTGACTCTGTTAGTTTTAACTGTCAGAGCCAAGAGTCGTAAGTAAAATACTGTGGAGTTCATGGGAGTTTAGTTTTTTTTCACTGTTTCTGAAATTCTGAAGATATTTCATCAGATATTTTTAAATTCACTGCTGTTTGGAAGATTGTGGAGTTAGCCATGGAGTCATTGGTGGAGTAGTGCAATAAATACCTGGAGAGGACTGATGCATTAGTTGATGTTTGGAAAGTTAAATTTGCAGCTGTAGTCTAGAACATTTTTTTAAGTACATTTACAGTGGTGTTGTAAATCACTAGTAATTGCAAAATAATTCACTTAGTTTTTCCCAAACAAATTAGTTTTTCAATACTAAAAAATACTGCTAGCAAAATAATAATAATTAAAAAGTGAAACTTTTCATAACCTATAAACTGCATTAATTTTTGTCTTCTGAGAGCCTATAGTGCATGATTCCATTCTTCTTTTGTACACAAAAGATAGAGACTGTGCATTGTCTTCCCTCAACTTTCACAAGCAATATATCTTAAAATTAAGGCTTAATATTTACTAAACTGTTTTGATGCAGTGCTGCAGTACTCTTGCACAGCTTATGGCATTTCTGCTGAAACATTGAGACAGCATTGCTCCCTCCTGTCATTAAATCATAACAATTAAAAAAAATCCAGAGTAAATGTCTCATGGCTAGTATGTGTTTCTGCATTTCTAGGCATTGAAATGTTGTGTTTGAATAATATGGGAAGGCTCTTCTGGTGCAGGAGAAAAAAATTTAAAATAGTTCACACCCTCTATAAAAATTCCTGGTTCATTGTTGCAAAGATTATGTACAAAATGTCAGTGCTTTTTTTTCCTTCTTCCTCTAAGAATGCTAGTCAAATGTGTTTCCAAATTCTGATATGAATCAAGTCAGTAATACCTTCTACTGAGAGACTGGCAACAGAGAATAATAGTCTCAACTACTCATCATCTTTCCGCAGTAATTTTGGGTTGATGAGAATGATGTTCCTTTTTTTTTTATTATTCTTTTCCCTTCACTAACCAGAGAATATGGTTGACTTCTAAAGTGAATTTGAGTCTGTGTAGCAGTAGGTGATTACAAGCACGTGAAGTACAAGCAGTGTCAGAGTAGTAATTGCAGCAGCTCTTGGGAGTTGGCCTCTGCCTTCTTGCTAGATCCCTACTTTGCGCTGTGTCTGCGGGAGGAAGGAATGCTCACTTCCCATGACTGCATATTTATCTTATTGGCAGCTGGAGTCCTGCCTCCATGTGTTTTCCTTCCAGAATATAGATTGTTTCTGCTCTTCTAAAGTAAAGAGTACTAGAGTCAAGGGCAGATTGCAGTTGTTATATTGCCTTCAGTCAGCAGATTCATTGAAAAGACAATTTGCAATTCCATTTTTCATTGTAAACAAGTGTTGAGAATGTCTGCAGTGTATCAGTTATAGCAGGTTACTTAGTAGTTTTAATTCTGGGTGATTAAAATGGTCGTAGCAAAAGTTTAAACTGGCAGGCCATACTGTAGAATTACAGATTTAACACTATGTGGTCTGCAACCTTGCTGAAAAATGAGCCCTTGCAGAAGTTAGGGAAGTTGAATGTTATTGTAACAAATCTCTTTAAGCTGTTTTGAATTTTTTTTGCAATAACTAAATGGAAGTTTTGAAATAGGCAGAATGATACTCCTTTACTCCTGAGCTCTTCAAGCAAGAGTAAATGATCAGCTAGATCCACGTTGCAGTCAAACGTGCAACTAAAATACATCTAGGTAGATCTGGCCAACAGTAGCAGTGAAGGCTATGATAGCCTGGGTGGGGGTTTTTGTCTGTTTGTTTCAGGCTAGATTATACAAAACTACTCGGATCTTCAAAATATATATTTACACACATACAGACACAAACTGGGCTGCCAGCCTTTCTCTAGTATTATGGCTGGTTTTGTGAGCTGTTTTTATCTGTCCTGTGGGTTTCTAAATTCTCTGGTCAAAAGGATAGCAATAATGTAAGGATGAATGCATGGATAAATGCAAATATTTTTGCAGCCATGTTGCTGCTGTTCCTGTAATTTCTCTCCCATTCAGTCTGTGTAAGAGTCAAAGGAAGGCCTTAGAGGTTTAATTTTAAAAGTAGGGTGTATGTCTAAGTATGATCTTCAAGATACCATAGAGGCTATTGTCAATTGGTAGCTTTAATTGGCTTGACACTTCTAACCGAGTTTCTCAGACAAACCTTCCATCCTACTCTTGCCACCTTGGTGTGTCTTGAGCAACCTTTAAAGACAGGCAGAACTCAAAGATATCTAGTATCTACTAGTTTTGTGAAAACTGACAACTGGCTGGAGACCCAAGCTAGTGTTTAATGCCATCAGCACATGTGTAACTTGGAAAGAGAGTACAGCATTCATCTGAATTGTGTTCAATCCAGAAGTTGGAGGAAGTGAGACTGCTATGCAAGATTACAGGAGGTAGAATGTGAGGTCTCAGTAGGATGGAAAGGACCAGGGTACTTTTGTTGCTGCAGTAACAACATAATGGGATAAGAGTTGCAAATGGGAAAAAAGAAAGTTTCATCATCTGTTCACAAAACAATCCTTTTCTCCATACTAGCAGTAAATCAAAAGGGATGACTTTGCTGTATGTATCTATGCATGTGTGCTTTTTTTGTTGCATTCAATTTCAGTATATAGTTCCAAATATGTACTTTTTTGATAAGCATCTTCCAAAGATGTCTCTGTCTTTTATTGAAGTAATTAGTGTCTACAAGACTTACTGTATTTGTACACTTGGGAAAGTTTTTAAGTGGTCAGAAAATAGGCTGGGTTTTTCTATAAATTTAAAATGTCTGTAGATTGGATGTTCTAAGTCTTTCACTATTTTTATGCATGAATTTTTCCTGGTACCATGTTTTGTTACATGCCTAAATTTGTTTCTTTTTCAGAGATTGGAATGGGATTAACAGGCTTTGGATTGTTTTTCCTTTTCTTTGGAATGATACTCTTCTTTGACAAAGCTCTTTTGGCTATTGGAAATGTAAGTGCCTTCTGTTTGGTCTTAGATTCTGCACTGCTTAGAATTAAGTATGTGATACATTAACATATTGTTCTATTTTTAGTTTATTTTTATCAATTTGAAACTGGATCACAAAAAATACTGTGGCAATTTGGTATAAAGGAAGAGTTATGCTCAGTGATATGTGTGAATCATTTTTCCTGATTTAAAGTTAGAACAGCTCACACGAATCTAAATATCGTACCTCCAGGTCAGGCCTGCGGTATGTTGGTCAGACAAGAAGGAGCTTGTTCCACAGTTGTTATGCTGCAGCAAATAAGATTTTTAGATTGGCTGTCATTACTAACACTTTCTTTTTTGTGATCTTGTAAGATAACTGTCAAATTTAAGTATATATTTGGATAAGAATAGTGAAGTGTTCTGTACATACTACCAAATTAATCTTTGCTGTGCTTTGTGAGGAAAGAATGAACTATGAATTGCTGATAGTCTGGGTTTAAAAGAGCCAATCACTCTTCATACTAGAGAGATTTATTATCTTCAGTTTTTACCAAATCAAAGCTTTCACTTAAAGCAGCATAGAAAATAAATCCTAGTTCTGGTACACAAAATTCCCAATCCAAAGAAAATATAAAATGACAGGGTGTTTTCCGAATGTGATCATCTCTGTGCCTCTGATGTTCTCAGCTTTGCCAGCCAGCCAAGAGCACAGCCTGGTAGAATTTTGCATCCTCTTTTGCTGATGCCTAAAAGTCTGTGGTCAAAACTGATCTGTTTCATTCTGTGGCAGTAGAGTCAAATACTGAGATCTACTGAAGGAAAATATAAAAAAAAAAGTATATTTGAATTTGGGTGCATTAGTTGAAGCATTGTTCTGAGCCATCAATAAAGTGTATAGTGGAAGAGTAAAAAATAAAATAGTGCTTATTTTTTCTTTTCCTAATGTAAGGTGGAAATATGAGATCCTGTTTAGGGAAAATTGTGAAAACATAGGTAGGAAGAGACAATGACAGGCTATGTGCTAACCAAAGATAATGCAAGGAAAGTTACAGTATCTTTACAGGAGGTTTTAAAAAAAGAAAATCTTCTGTCAGAAAAGGGAAGAGGTTTATTAAATAACATACAAAACTTAAATTTCATCTATAATCTTGAGTAAAATCTGAGAAACTGTCCCCTTCTGAGCAAAAATATTGCCCAGATGTATGCTTACAAGCTGAAATAATTACAAGTCCTGTTGCTAAAGGACACTAAAAGTAGTTCTAACTAGTTGGGACTAGTGTGATAGTGTTCAGTCTATACTGGAACTAGCAAACAGTAGAAAGACTATACAAAGCGGGGGGGGGGGGCGGAAACACCAAAAACAAAACAAAAAAAAAACCCAAGTAAGATAACTGATAATGCTCTTCAGCTGTTTTCCTTTTTTGGGTTTGCACTGTTCAGTAGATCAGTACAAGCTGTTGAAGATGTCCATGGTACAGAACAGAGGTGCTTTTGTATCATGTCTGTTCTCAGTCTTTAGGAACCTTTGCTGTCAGTGGTACTGAGCTTCAGTACTGCTTGTGGATAATGATTGTACTTATGTTACAGGACAGATATAACTGTTGTCACTGCGTCTTCTGACGTGACTGTGTTTGTCAGACCACAAAGGTAGACTCTACTTCTTAAGCAGCTGAGAGAAGAGTTTTGAATGCTAGCTACAAATGCTTTAAGATGGACTTTACAAAAGAAAATCACTAGTAAACTCCTTCTCACCATCTATATTTTGGTACTAAAAGAAGTTGTGGAAGAAATGCAATCTAGTTTTGTAGAATATATATGTGTTTACATCCTAAACTTAGGAATGTAATTAGCTATTTTCTTTCTTTGATTGGTTTTTGTCTTTTCTAGGTTTTATTTGTGGCTGGCTTGTCTTTTGTTATTGGTTTAGAAAGAACATTTAGATTCTTCTTTCAAAAACACAAAATGAAAGCAACAGGCTTTTTCCTGGGTGGTGTCCTCATAGTTCTCATTGGTTGGCCTTTAATAGGAATGATCCTTGAAATTTATGGCTTCTTCCTATTATTCAGGTAAGACTTGTTTCAAAATACCTTTCTGTATTGGTGTATCTAGGAATAAATATATTTGTTTAGTGTTGTCGCATTACAGCTCACAAAGCGGCATCCTTTAAATGTTTGTTTTTGATAGATTTTATATATAAAGTTGTTGATTTACATTTGCAAGAGGTGGAAAGTTGGTAAGTATTTTTCCAAGACTCAAATCTGCTAATGTTTGTGAGGCATATACCAAACTGACTTTGGTAATGTTGTTTATGTCTAACCAAAGAACCATAAAGCTTCAAAATATCTGGGAGCCCAAATTGTTAGCAATGCAAAACTTAAATATTTCCTCATAAAAAAGGCAGCTTTTATACTTAATATTGTTTTAGTGGGGCGTTTGTTCTTTTCTTTAACAAATGGGACAAAATGTTTGATTACAGATATTCTAGGTTTGTAACCTTACGGTTTTGTTACTATGGTAGCCCAGTGAAAAGATGTTTTCTGTATGTTTCATTACACTTGTGCCCTAGTATAGTCAGAACTGCTCGTTTTGGTTAGCCTTATCTCAACTGAGTTAAGGAAAGATGAAAATTCTTATGTATCAAGATTACTGTTCAAAACAGATTATAGCTTTCACAATGTGTCCTTTAACTTCTTCATAAATGCAATTCTAATGGTGAAAGAATCTGACTTGTTACAACCTGTATATATATCTATGTTTTATCTTTATTTCCATGGTTGAAGTTCCATACTTCACTATAGAACAAAGTGCAATATACACTAATAAGTTAGAAGGGAGGGTTTTAACTTTCTTGGACTTCTGTTCAGATGAAGACCATTTCATTAATACTTATTAATCTAATAACAGACCCCTAAAATATTTTCAAAGTGTTCAGCTACTGGCTTAAATAATATAGTTCCTGTTAATCAAAATCAAACCACTGTTCTCGTGATGCTCTTTTTTTCCACTCAGTAAAATTGAGTGTTCATCTTTTATTTAGTTTAGAGAAAATGTTTAAATATTTAAAAAAAGAAATCTTAACTTGGCTCCTACTGAAGACAGTGAGATTTATGAAAATCAAGTTTGCAGGCTTCTTATTGTTCTACTCTGTATTACTCTGAACTCTAATCACAGTATTTCACTGAATACATTGTCACTTCTTGCATGTAGCGCTTGAGTTTCATCAGCCAGTAGGGAGCAAGTAGAGTGTGTTTCCAACCGAACACCCTTCCTTTTAAAAGATCTCAAAAGAATTATAAATTACTGTGTCTAAGCAGATATGGTTATGGTTTATCTATTGGTGCTAGCCAGGGGCTAGCACGGTAAAATAATGTTGAAGGGATTGTAGAAGGTAAGTAGTTATCCCTAGGTCAGTAGGACTATCCCTTAGCCAGAAGAGTGTCAAAAAGGGATAGATAAGCAGTCACACAAGGAATTATCAGATCTGTTTTAATTTAAAACATCTCTAGACCATCTTTTCTAGTGCTTAATAGTTCTTAGAATCTAAATCCCTTGCTACAGTGTTAGCTAGTTACTACTTCGAAACAAGCTTTTTGTTTTGCTTCACTCTTGTTTATTTCAACTATTATCATGTTTTCAGCAACTTGTTCCTTTCTGAAGAAGTTAAAAATGGAGGCTTTCCTCAAGCATCATTTCATACAATTCCTCAGGATCCCACTGTTTGGTTGCATAACAGAAAACTTCCCTGGTTATCATTGGCCTCTGAAGTACTTAAATTTCTTAAGCCCAAGGAATACCAGTTCAACTTATGTACCTTTGGATTTGTTAGGGCAGTATGTTGTAAGGATGGGCATTTCTGTGTATCCTAATGGTTCTACTCATGTGGATTACCAGGACTTTTATATGGAAAACCTTTATCAAGAGCAATTTAGCAGTTCTAGTAACTTTACTTCAACCTAGACTAAGATAGTACCAATGTAAACCTCTGTACCATACTTTTTTCAGTCTGTTGGTTTTTAGATCACTAAACCAATTCCACTCGGTGTTCAGATCCCCCTAGAATTGTTACGTGTAGGTTGTTGTCTTGCATATCTAGACCACTTTTACACAATCACTTTTCATACACTCTGTAGCAGTAATTGCAGAGCCCCTGTTGTCCACAAAGCAGCGGTTAGTTACTGGTGACCAAGAACACTTAAACAAATGACAGGATTGCAAAGGTTTGTGTTTTGGCTTGTGGATTGTTTTTTGTTTTGTTTTTTTTTTTTTTAAAGATGCATATGACTGAAGTGAGAGAGACAATTATTATTTTACTGTGGTTTAAATCTAGAATGTCTTTCTTGTCTTTAAGATGCTACCACAAGTTTCCCATCGCAGGTTTAGTCTTTTGCCATACTTTCTCATGGTCAGATTGCATTCACTGGAGAAGGCTGTTATGGAACAGTATCTCTTGTACTTTAAGCTGCTTTTGGAGAGTTGTTTAGATTAGAGGCATACAAAGTTATGGCTAACAGTATTATCCCTCCTGTACTGACTATTCCTTGTTCTTGGCTACACCTATTGTTTTGATCTGTTACAGGTGGTTTGTGTGCCCTGCATGACAATTTACTGGACCACTGAAATGATCCAGTCTTTAAAAAAAGAAAATGTCTAGGAAAACTTGTTGTTATTGATATTACCCAGCAAATAGCTCTTAGCAGTGTAGTGAAGAGGATGAGGACTTGTGAAACTTCACTGTGTCTGAGGTCTCATTACACATTAATCCTTATTCTATGCAGGGAATGTATAGCGCAACAAGAGATAACTTGAAATGCCACTGCCACCTGAATTGCTGCAATTGACTGGAAAGAGCTGAGAAACTGCCATAGAAAATTTGTTTTCCTGCTGCAGAGTTGAAGTGGATAGTTCAGGGGGCTATACCATAGCAGCTATGCTAGGCAACATCCATCCCCTGGCTCATGATTCAAATCTCTGACATTACATAAATTTGTGAAATAGGTGAATACACAACTCCATCATGCTACATTTTCTTTAGTTAATGTAAAGAGTACCATATATGGTTTCAAAGGGAGTTAATCAGAATTAACTTCAGTTGTTTTTACATTGGGTATTGCAAGAATGTATTTCCTACAATGTAAAAAGAAATTACCTCAAAATACATATGGTAATTTTGAGAAATCAGTTGGGAGCATCAGTTCTGTTGATTAAGTTGGGTATTCTTTCTTTAATTATTTGTTGAAGAAAGAGCTGACTGAGGGTTGCCAGCTATGAAGAAAACTTAAGTCCATATAAAAATAAGGTGTTTCTTTCCTGGTTTTCTCCTTTCTCTGTTTAATGTATGTTGATATATTTGGTAAAATTAATGTGCTGCTAACAAACTACAAGATTTTTATGTAATCTTGATTTAAAAAATACCTGCTATTTCTTCATTTTATAGCAATATGAGAATAGTTTAATTATAAAAACTAATCCAATCTTCAAATATCTTACCTAAAGGGGGTTCTTTCCGGTGGTGGTTGGCTTTATTAGAAGAGTTCCAGTTCTTGGATATCTCTTGAATTTACCTGGTATAAGCTCGGTAAGTGTTCAGTACTTCATGCAAAATTTGAAGCTTGTACTGTTTTTTATTCCATTGTTATGGCAATAGTAGAAATGCATCAGAAATAAAGCAAATATAACTTCAGAGCAGTGACTTTGAGTGTATTGCTGTATAGTTCTTGCAACATACAGGTCACATTCATTCCCAGCAAGAGACTTCTAGATGTAAAAGGAACAAAAGGACACCTTTGCAGAAGCTGCCCCGCTTGCGTGTTGTGAAGTGGAAAGAGCCCTGAATTGTGACTCAGAACGCTGGGCTTCTGCTTCCTGCTTCACTCTTGGCCCTAGGTGGCCAGATAGGCGAATTGTGCCACTGTTCTATGCCTCTTCTCCTGTCTGTATGATGAGGAGGACACTGTTCTTCTTTGTGTAGTATTTGGATAAATTTATGAAAAGTGGCCTGTAAAAGCAAACTGTGTAGTTCAGTGTTAAGCTGCAGCTTGTATGGCAAATCCAGAAACTCTCATGATGCATAATCGTTCATCAGATATATTTATTAAGGTCCACTGCACCAGACTACGTCTTGCTGTTTGCTAAGATTTGCATTTTTTCAAATGCAGTTTTCCATTTTCTTAACCAAATAGCCAGAGACGTGAAGGCAATTAACAGGTCCCAGAAAGATGGTAATCTAGGGTGTTTCAGTCAACTACTTTTACTGTGCTAGTTTCTGTATGTATTTTAACACAAGCATTTTTAACCCTAGTTGTGAAAGCAACAGTTTTAATAGTTACTACTAAAAAAAAAAAAAAATTAATAGGGGCTATAATTTAGATGTATACAGGCTGTTTTTTAAAAACTAGTGTTCCAGATGATCTGTTCCAATCTTACAGTTAGGCCAAGTTCTGGCTCATAATTCATGATCAATTGAACGTTTCATTTGTCAATTGATCTTGCTTAGTCATATTTAATTTGATCATAATGGGGTTAAATCTTGTTTTAAAAAGATAATTGTTAATGTTTTATTCAAAGCCTACGTAGGCTCAGAAGAGAATCCACAGTAATGGTCAGTTGAAATATCTTACTTGGTCTACTAATGCATGTGTGGCTGATACTGTATTGTTTTGTTTTAATCATTCAGCTGGCAGTGTTATCTGCATTCTTCTATTTACTTTTTCATTCTGTTGCATCTTCATGTTGCACTGTTAATGTCTATATGAGAAAAACATGTCATGCAGAAACACGATTGCAAAGTAAGATTTTTAATTTTCACAAACTTAAATCATGAGACCTTGGTGAGTACTATTTGACTCTCATTTTCAGTTGCATACTAACTGTGCAAGTAGCAAGTAATATTTGAGAGTAATTTCACTGTACATAAATGTCATGCAGCTTAAAACCTTTTTGTCTCCTTTTCTACAGCTTGTAGATAAAGTTGGAGAAAGCAACAACATGGTGTAATGACAAGAGGGCAGAAGACTGGTTCTAAACTTACTGTATTATTTATAAAAATCCTTTTGAAGAATACTCAGCACAAAGGTTAAGTTGTGTACAAAGGAAAAGCTTGTTACATTCTTTACATAACAGTTTAATTTAAAATGTATAGTCAACAATATACATTAGAAAAGAAGCTCAGCAAGTATGCTTCTAGGAAAGTAACTCCAGAGTTCAGGACGTAAACTGAAGAGGTGAAAGTCATGGAATAACCTGTGTTGTAACTGTTCAAGACTATTTTTGTTGGTTTTGAAAAACATGATAGAGGCAATGAACCCGTGTGGAATTAACAGCGCCTGTACTTTACCTCCTTATTTTGAAGGTGCAGTATAGCAAACAGGCCTACATTTTTAAGAGTGACCCAAAACTTATCCAACCCTCTGCTTGCTATCCTCAAGAGTGCGAAAAATCAAACAGAAAACTTCTTGTTTAACAAGAGATGCGTCTTTGCATGAAGGTTAAGATGACTCTTCATCTTTAAGTGTATTATGACCAAAAAAAAGAGACCCTACATGGTTCTGTTGTAAACATTTTTGTAAATATGTGGCTGAAATAAAACATTGTTATCTTAATGTTTCAAAGCCAAATGTAAGTTGATTGTATTTGCCTTCCATTTCGGAATATGCAAAAGGTCAATCTTCAATAACTTCAGTCTTAAATGTTGGTTCTGAACATGTAGAGCTCAACAGGGAACTCTGGAAACTGACTTGCACTCCTTCCAGCTTGTTCTCCTTGAGTCACATTACATGTGCATCCAGATTAGAATGTAGCCCCTTGTCACTAACATGAAAACTTTGTGAAATATGCTTAGTCCACAAAAAAAAAAAAATAATGCATTTGGTTAAGGTGCTGACAGGAACCCAGTGAAATGTATCTTATCAAAATTTGAATCTTTGTTTTTAAATAGTTTGAAGCTAAGGTTTCTTTGTTTACTCTGGAACTACAAATTGACTTTTATTTTTTACAGTAATAAAATTAAAAGTTAAAGTTCTGTGTATGTGAGTCTCTGGGGAGAAAACTGAGCTAATGGGCTAACTAAGTATCAAGTACTGTAGTGAATGATTTCACGGACCCTGATGCGCCTAACCAGAATTAGCATCAGAATCCTTTATTGCTTCTTAACTCTACCTTATATGCATTACAAGAAATAGCAGAAGGGTCCATTCACAGGGCATATTTACATAACCACCTCTTTGGTTCTCATGTTACACTGCTCAGTACTCTCAGTTAGTTTATCACATTCTTGTAGATTTCTCGTGTGAACAGGAGGAGGAGGAACAAGATGCACTGGTCTTTGATGTTTGCAGGACGCTGCTTTATCTATCGCCTGTACCGTTTCCCACAAAGTACCAGTCCAATTTCCTTGTTTTGTAACTTGTTGCTTGAGTTATCTTCAAGTAACTTAAAACTTCTATCAGTCACAGCAACAACTTTGCTGTTACAGAGATTCTTAGCTAACCTGCAATAAACGTCACCTACTAATGCAAGGTCACATTTCTGCTTCTGTTGGAATGTTAAACATCATGCACTGACCTAACAAAATGTGATCATTAAGTAAATTGTATTTGTGCAGGCTTTGGGGGTTTCTGTTGTGTTTTAACTTTCTTTTCCCTTAAATGTAATCCTAAAAAAATTATCAAAATGCAATGGTAGTACTTCAAGTAGCTATGTAGTGTTAGTGATCTAATGACTGTGGGTTTTTTTTTTGTTTTTATGCAATTAAAATTGGTATTTTCCAAAATAACTTTTAAGTTAGGAAGAATCCTCATACACCAACACTTTTGAAAGTTGCTCTGATGTTTATTTGTGTAAGACATGTTTTATTTACATTACAACTGTATAAATAGCCACAATCTACTATTCCCAATGTTTAATCTGCTTCCTTCTCAAACAGGCACAGAATGATTCAGTGAAAAAATGCCATTATATTTACAATGAATAGCATCTGAAAAATCAGTGGTTTTATTTTATAAATGACAAAAAATGGCTATATTTGACTGATGGCATATGTGTTATAGTTTACAGACAGCACTAAATATGACTTGTGGCTTCTACCTCAAGAGAGAAACCAATTTTAACTGCTCCCATAGATCTGTTGTGTGTCAAAATGACTAGAGAATAACACTACAGCAGTTTGGCAAACTCAGCTTGTTTGCTTTGATAGAGCACTAGTTTGTACTGTGGGAATCAAGTACTGTTTAAAGCAGGCGGTGTTCATCATTTACATTACAAGTCAGCTACCTGAAGATTTTTGTTCTTCTCTTTTCAAAAGTGACGTAATGGGAAGGGTGGATTGCACCACATGACTATGGAGCTCTGACTGAAAGCAAATTGCTTGATAAGCTGAAGTACCTTCATCAACAACAAAGGCAATGATTTCTTTCAGAGGTGTTGAATGTGTTGCTGTATATGATCTTTTAGCCCTCTGAAATGCCAGGATGTAGGCAGTTCATCTCACTTCTATTTAATTCATTGTTTTAAATCAAAAGTCAATTTTTGTCAGGTGTGAACTGTTGTGAAAAGTGTCTGAGGGAACAAAATTGTATATTGAATTTAGCATGGTCTTTATCCCTCAAGGTAATGTTGTCTTTGAGACAGTTTTGCTAAGATAAATGTGAGTGGCAGCAAAGGTCGAAACAACTTAGCCTTAAAATGTTTCTGACATTGTAAAAATATCTTTAACAGAAACATACTTGGAACATTTCCCCTTTTAAATGCAATTTATAATTGTTGCTTTAAAAATCATAAGGATGGATCTTATTCTGAGCAAATGAATACTGTAAATATCTTTGTCATATCTTGAATGAATGAGTACCTTTTTCTATAATTTGTCTTTGTGTCTCTTTACGTGCACATTTTAAGAAAGTGTTTTGACAAGTTCTCCTTTCCAAAGGTTAGGGAGTACATGCTGTTACTGCTTGGCTATCTTACACTGTTGTGACTTGCACAGTAAATAGTGTCTTTGATTAATCTTAAATGGAAAGGTTTCTTTTTCTTACAATAAACGTTTTACGTAAACATCCCCATAGTTATTCAGGTTCCAGTTTCAAACACATCACAACAGAATGTGGAAATTACTATTATGTGAGAGAGAGTTTCTTTGTTGAACTTGGAGCAGGTTCTAGCCCTTGTGCTTTCAGTTTAGTTCAAGGATACGAACAGGAGTTCTCTGTATCCTAGAGAATGGCCTGATAAGCAGGTTTACTCCTCTGTGGTGATCAGCAAGCTTGCAGCCCACTATTGAGGATTTTCACAGAGGGAGTAGAACAACAAAGTGGGGATTTTAATTGGTTGGTGAGGTGGTGTGTTGTTGCTATGTGCTAGCTCATTCCCTAAAAACTGGTGCACTTTTGACTGAAGTTCCAGCCTCTCAATTAACTTTTACCAAAGTTGCTTCTGTCCTAAGAATTCCAAAGAATTGGTACTTCCTAATTCAAAAGGAAAAAAAATCCCCGCTACCTCTAGTTATATTTGTTAAACTGTGAGAGGTATAATGTTAATCTGTAAGTAGCTCATGGCCAGTTACTTTCAGTGAACAGTTGCCATTTATTAACCATGAATACTTTGACTTTGTTATTGCTAACAACATGGTACCACTGTAGTTTAGAATCTGTGTCAAAAACATTGTAGAGAAAGGTATCTTGTATCTGCGGTAGGTGTCAAAGGCAAGATTTTACTGGATTACTTTAAAATTGTTTCCTTGCCAGATTTCAAGTTACAAACTCATCTAGTTGTTGCCTTTCTGGTTTGCTTGATTATCAGGCTGGAAAGTAGAGTCCACATCCCTAGCCCAAATGTAGTAGGTATCTCTCTCAGCTGTCTCTTCAGATGTCACTGCCAACCCTGGGACTCCTGTCTCTATTTCTCTGACTGCCATGTCCTGGCTTGCTTTGGCTGTTACTTCTACCCTTCAGATTGCCATTACCAGCTATGATAGCATTAGCGTGCCGTTACCAGCCTAACTTACCCAGCAGAATTTGTCTTTTGTGGCCTGTTTGTTCTAAGCTTTACCCCTCCAGTAGTGGTCTTGGCATATTAAAGCATCTTTCAGAAGACTTGGATCTCATGCTCAGTCCAGCAAAGAGTTTCTGCAGCTGCTGTAATCCCTTGCCAAGCCTAATTTCAGCACAATTATTATATGCTAAATCATCCTCCTCAAATATGTAACACTTTACAGAAAAATGACAGGACTGATGTGGAGCGATTTGGTGTGGAATTCATTATCTCAAACTAAGTGTTATGACTGATAATTTGGGATATTGCTGAAGATCTATTTATAGAAATGCATTTATGTGTTTTTTACCAGTCATTAATCTGAGTAGTTTACCTGCTGAAGTAGTGCATGTCTGGAGGTATACTTGCTCAAAAGCGTTTGTGGTCCTGTATGCTTTCTAGCAGATAGCATTTTTCATGGAAGTAGTAGTACCACTTTGGTAGGGAATGTAATGGATCTCCTATAAAAATACAGGGATTAGAAGCGTCTTATTGCATATAATGCCAAAAGCTCATAAAAGCATTGGGTTCCTAGCTGACTTACTACGTACAGGAATTTCTCCACTGAAAGGGCAACAGTGTTTAACCTACTGTTTGGTACGGAGCTGTACATCTCATTAAGATCCAGGAGCCAAGATGTTTGTAACTGGAAACTGGCGTCCTGCACCATCGAATTGACAGTGTAGCTGACCACGGGCGAAACGTAGGTGGCCCACAATCTCTTTATTTTCTTTTTTTCGGTGCCTCGCTCTGAACCTCGGTTCGGGTCCGAACCAGCTCCTCTGCGATCGGTTTCGGCGGCGGTCACCCCGCGGACCGAGGCCCCGGGCAGGGCGCGGAGCTCCCCGCCGCCATCAGGGGGAGCCACGAGGAAGAGAAACGCCCGGGAGCCGCCGAGAAGGCGGGAAGGGCCCGGGGGATTCACCGGCTCCTCGTGAGCGCTAGAGCGGAGCCTGCGCTGCCCGGGGTCCCTGAGGCAGCCAGCCACCTGCAAAGCCGGCGACTGGAGATCAAGTGGTCATGCCTCATGTGGTCGAGGGCAAAAGATACTTTTCATTGTCGTCTTTTCAAATCAGCCACACAACAAGCCAACAGTTCCAAGCCCTGTAGCTGGTAAGTGGGATCCAAAAAATGTCTTGAAAATTTCTGGCTGGTTTGTTGTGTACTTCTGGAGTGTTTTTAAGCTTGATTTAATTTAGACTGAGGAACTGCAATGTGGCCAGGTCGCCCAGCTGAGTGGCTTTTATCGTTAGCCATCTAACTTTGCACGTCCAGAGAAGGCTAACAAAGGTGGTGAAGGGTCTGGAGCACAAGTCCGGTGGGGAGCGGCTGAGGGAGCTGGGGGTGTTTGGTCTGGAGGGCTGAGGGGAGAGACCTGATCGCTCTCTACAACTACCTGAAAGGAGGGTGTAGCGATGTGGGGGTCAGCCTCTTCTCCCCGGTAACTAGCGATAGGACAAGAGGAAACGGTCTCAAGTTGTGCCAGGGGAGGTTTAGATTGGATATTAGGAAGAGTTTCTTCACCAAAAGGGTTGTCAAGCATTGGAACAGGCTGCCCAGGGAAGTGGTAGAGTCACCATCCCTGGAGATGTACTTAAAAGATATTGTATTTAAAGTATTCAAAAGATATGTAGGTGTGGCACTTAGGGACACGGTTTAGGGGTAGACTTGTCAGTGCCAGGTTAATGGTTGGACTTGATAATCTTAAAGATCTTTTCTAACCTAAACAATTCTATGAATTTATGTGGAAAATTATCCTCAACTTGCTTACCTCCCCCCCACCGAAAAAAAAAAAAAACCACAACAGCACAAAATATCAAAATATCTCTTACTTTTCTGCCAGTTTTTAGGCAGGCCTGAGTTGGGGAGACAGAAGCAACTTAGTGGTTATAAAATCTTGGCAGTTACCTTGGATGGGGAAAATGGGCTGGCAAGGAATCACAGCACTTCCATTAAAAAGTGAAGGAGTGGGTTGATCGTGGTGAGACCTCCGG